AGGAGAGTTCCTTTTTCTCCACATCCTCGCCAACATTTGTTGTTGCTAGTTGTTTGAAGATGATGCACCACATCTTTTTAATCCAGTCATGCACTTTTGGCACTTGGGCTGTTTCCATGTCTTTCCAATTGTAAATAAAGCAGCAATAAACATGGAGGTGCAGGTATCTTTCTGAATCAGTGCTTTTGTGTCTTTTGGGTAGATAACCTAGAAGTGGAATTGCTCGGTCATATGGAAGCTCCATAAAACATGATTATTATTTTAAGGATGTTGTCGTATCTACCAACTAGAGTATCAGTGTAAGGATTGATGTGAATTGATGACATTTTTTGTTTCATTATATATTAATTAAATGTTGGCTTTTTAAACATTTTTTTATAGGTCCTGATTTTGTTGTTTGTGATGAAGGTCATATTCTAAAAAATGAAGCATCTGCTGTTTCAAAAGCTATGAATTCTATACGCTCAAGAAGGAGGATTATTTTAACAGGAACACCACTTCAGAATAACCTAATTGAGTGTGAGTGAACAGCTGCAGTTTTACTGTGGACTGTTTGTATGCCTCAGCTATGTTATTGCTACTTTTCCACTTACTTTCTTCTGTTTGATGTGGTCTGTGATATGATCTACATGATAGATAGACTAAGGTCCATTATAGTCTGTTGTGAAAGAATATCATGCTTTTCAAGTAGAATGATTTAAAAATATGAATGGGAAACCAAATAAGTAGGTATGCCAAGTAGGTATGTTGTAATGTAAAATATAGCATTGGAAATATAAAAAGTTTCGGAAATCTTGATGATTACTTTAAAAATATAAATCTACTTGTGATGAACCAGAAGTTATGGTAACAAAGTATATCCATTTTGGGGGTGGTACTGTCAGGAAATCAGAAATTAATCCCAGGCATGAATGTGTTAAGGAAGTTGAGGGAGAACTATTTTGAATACATGTAATGATTGAGTTTGCTGAAAACGAGGATAGGTGATATGAACCCAGGGAAATGACTTGTTAATTTCCCTCATCTTAGTATGTATGTGGTGGCATTAATAAGGAAATATGTTATCCAGCGTAACAAATGGAAACATTGTAATTGCTTTGTATTACTTACATGCCTTTATTGTATTTGCAGTAACTTATTTTTTTATTATTTGTAATTCTGGCTATTTCACTATGTAGCCTGTATTTTATTTTTATGTCAGTTTCTGTCTTTTCTGTTACCACATTTATAGAAATGCTACTTCAAATTATGATTCTGTATTGTATAGTAGAAATGATACCTTGTTAAGAACTTCTGCATTTAGAGCACTGATATAAAATTTGCTAATACAGCTTTTACCTGACTTAATTATTTTGATTCACTACCTTATTCACAAGATGGCCTTGCTGACTATAAAATCATGGTTTCAGTTGTAGAACATTTATTTTATATTCATATCTATTATAAAGAACAGTGAATGGATGAGGTTATGGGGAAGAGCAATCAAAAGTTGGAGGGGATCCAGTGCACTGTAGTAGAGGGTTATCGTATTTTGTTTGTAGGTGTAGTGTGGTAACATTCATTTGATGAGGTATGAATCTGAACTCCTAAAACATATGCAGTGTTATAACCAACATTAACTACTTCAATTAATGCTGAGTTAAAAAATACTTTACATGTTTTTTGAAACAGTCATGTTTACTATTTAGGGCTATTTATATTTGAATATTTCATTACGTTTTAGGCATTGTACTTCTAGATCAGATTTATAACCAGTGTTTGGGATATAGTCAGCTTGCCATTCTTTCTTTGTAGTTTTATTCTAATGCTCCCATGGCATGCATTTTTGATTTGCGCATTTCATGAGAGAATTTTGGGTCTTTTTAACCAGTGTTGCTAATTGATGTCTTTTCTTGTAGATCATTGCATGGTTAACTTTATCAAGGAAAATTTGCTTGGGTCTATTAAGGAGTTCAGGAATCGATTTATAAATCCAATCCAAAATGGTCAATGTGCAGATTCTACCATGGTAGATGTCAGAGTGATGAAAAAACGTGCACACATTCTTTATGAGATGTTAGCTGGATGCGTTCAGGTACAAATACATTTTATAGTAATAATTCTTGTTACTTTGTTATTCTGCAATCCCAAAACTTTTTTTAAATTTAAATTTTCATTTTTTCTTCCTCATTTCAGCACGTAGTTTTACATAAATACCTATTTGTATTGTCCTTAAACATTTATATTGCATTTAACTTTTCAGCAATATTCCATTAAGAAATTTGAAGTATAATTGATTAATTTATTTGATTAGTGTGTGGTTTCATGTTTGAATATGTTAATGCTGGTAGTATTCATGGTTAAGATAGAAGGACAACATTAAAGGAACACAGTTATTATGATTAACAAATTCCAGTGCTCATCCTAGTTCTATAGCTCAGCATTCTAAATCTCATTTGCTTGAAATGGTTGTAAAGTAGGTAATCATGAATTATGAAAAGAACCATTTTTAGTATAATTAAGAAGAAAGTTTTACATTCAACTACGTGTTATAACCTGAATCTTCTAATAATTATTACTTACATGTGGATTTTCAGTGAAGAAAGTTTTATTTTCAATTACGTATAATAACCTGAATCTTCTAATAAGTATTACTTACATGTGGATTTTCAGTGAACCTAGATTAATAAGTATGTAAAGATTAAGTCAGCAGTTACATAAAGATTCATACTTCTTCCCCCCCCCCCCCAAACTCTAAGATCCTTATGGTGTAACCCCAAAATGTAATTTGTGAGATAGGCTAACTTTCTGGCATCATATAAGGCATAGGAATTCTGTTTGGTTTGGTTGATCATAAAATACTAGAAAGTAGTGTTTCATGCTGTTCCTATCTAGCCAGCACTTTTCTGGTTTACATAGTCTTTTGCATCTAGCAAAGTAGTGTTTGTTTTCTATTCTTTTAGAAGATGTTTTCCTATATGTCAGTTATGTGCATCTTTTCATTAAATACAATGATAATGAGAATATTTGAGAGCAGTTAATTTCTGTCATATATTAAGGCTAGTTTTTATTCTTTAATGTTAATTACAGAGAAAAGATTATACAGCATTAACAAAATTCTTGCCACCGAAGCATGAATATGTGTTAGCTGTGAGAATGACTTCAATTCAGTGCAAGCTCTACCAGTACTACTTAGATCACTTAACAGGTAACAGACACACTTTTCATTTTTTTTTATCTGTTTTCTGAAGATTTTTTTTTCTGAAAAATGTCTTTGTAATTTTATGTCAGTTTTTCTTTTACAGCTTTGCATTTGAATAAAATTGTGCTCATTCTATAAATTCACGAAGATAGGTTTAATTTAAAAAACACTAAAGTTGTCAAAATAAATTAAGTGACTACATGGTAAAAAAAATATATAGGTGAACGATGCCTTTAATTTGTGAAGAACTTTTATTTTCAGTAAAAGGCATGTCAGTGAAATCCATGTAATCGGTTCTCAATTATCAAATAAGGTTGAAAGGAATAAAGAAGATAGCCTCTACAAGGTAGGGCAATTATTATGTCTTGGTATTATGATAAAAATATACACATGTTTCAAATAGACCAAAATTGGGCCCTCCCTGGTGGTGCAATGAATTAAAGTGCAGCACTATGAAGCTGTCCACAGCCACTGCAGTATGAGTTCCATCCCCAGCCAGGGAGCTGACCCACATGGCATGGCAGACCTCTCCTCAGTGGTTTATTTTATTAGATCTACCTTTTCTGCTCCCCACTCTCTCTGATGAATCCTCTCACCCCCCTGCACCTCTGGCATGTACCTGTTTCTGTATGCATAAATAAATACATCTTTAAAAAATACACCAAAATGCTAACATTGATATTTTCCTTCCCCCCCAAGTCAAAATTTCATTATTCAGTTTTTAAATTGCATTTGTAACATTACATAAGATTTCAGGATTTCAGGTATGAAATCATTAAAATTCAACAACTGTATGTCGTCGGTCTATAATTTACTGGCTGGTTTTGTCCTTTTCTGACCCTTTGTTTAGTTTCCCTATATTCCTCATGTAAGTGAAACCATCATCCAGTGTTTTCTTTTTCTTTCTGACTCATTTCTCCTTCTGACCCTTCTATGCCGCTGAAATGACATGAGTTTATGTTTTGTGATTGCTGAATGGTATTCCTTTGTGTATATATACCATACCTTCTTGATCCAGTCATCTTTTTTGGTCAGGTTGTTTTCATGTTAGCTATTGTAAATAGTGCTCCAAGAAACATAGCAGTGCAGGTTTCCTTTCAAATTAATGTTTTTGTGTGCTTTGGGTAGCCTCCTAGGAGTGGAATTACTGGCTCATATGATAAGATCCATTTTTAGTAATTTGAGGAACCTTCACACAACTTTCTGGAGAGGTTGAACCAGTTTGCATTTCCACCAGCAGTGTAGGAGAATTCCATTTTCTTCACATCCATGCCAGCATTTATTTTTGTCATTTTTAAAAATATGTGTCATTCTCACTGGTGTGAGGTAGCTTCTCATTGTGGTTTTGATTTGTATTGCCCTGATTATAAGTGATATTAAACATTTTTTCATATACCTGTTGGCCAGTTGCATTTCCTCTTTGGTGAAGTGTCTTTTTAGCTGTACTGGCCCTTTTTTTGGCTGGGTTGTTTGCTTTTTTTTTTTTTTTTTAATTTTTTTTTTATTTATTCATACAGAAATGGGGCACAGGCCATAGGTGCAGGGGCAATGAGAGGATTCAGCAGAGACTGAGTGGAGAGCAGAACAGGCAAATTGAGAAAGTACACTGCTGAGGGGAGTAGCTGGTGAGGCATTAGAAGTCTGCCACACCATGTGGATCACCTCCGAGGCCAGGGTCTAACTCGCACTGAAGCAGCCATAACTTGGCTAAGCTTCACAGTGCGGTGCTCCACTGCTGTGCCACTAAGAAAGGGGCCCTGCTTTGTTACTATGAGCCCTTTATAGATCTTTGAAATTAATTCCCTTATAAGTTGTGTGGAGTGCAAATATTTTCTCCCAATCAGTTGGTTTTCTCTTTGTTTTTGGTGTACTTCTTTTGCTATACAGAAGGTTTTTAGTTTGATATAATCCCAGCTGTTTATCTCTTCCTTCACTTTCTCTGCTTTGGGGGATGTGTCTTTAAAATGCTTATGAGATGTATGTCATGTAGTGCTTTGCCTGTATTTTCTTTTACGTATTTTATGGTTTCTGGTCTTATGTTCAAGTCTTACCCATTTTGAGTTGTTTTTTTTTTGTTTGCAGTGTGAGGTATTGCTCTAGTTTTACTCATTTGATTGTGATGGTCCAGTTTCCCCAGCACCAATTATTAAACAGTCTATCTTTGTTACATTCCATGTTCTTTGCTCCTTTGTCATAGATTAACTGTCCATATATGTGTTGGTTTATTTCTGGGCTTAATTCTATGCCAGTGATCTGTTGTTTTAGTTCCAGTACCATACTGTTTTAATTATTATGGTTTTGTAGTAGCTTGAAGTCTGGGATATCTCAAGGTATCTTTTAATTGCTTCTTTGATTTTCTCATTAATCCAATTGTTTTCCAATAATGTGTGACTCAGTCTCTATGAAATGGGTTTCCTGCTTTCTTGTTGTGGCTAATTTCTAGTTTGATGCCTTTATGGTAGAAGATAGTATGATTTTGATCTTCATGTGTTTTTTGATGTTTGTCTTTTGACCCACTATGTGGTGGATCCTGGAGAATGCTCCATGTACACTTGAGAAAAATTGTATTTGTTTTATATGTTCTGTATCTGCCTGTTTGGTCCATGTGATTTAGATTTTTATTTAGGGCTATTGTGTCCTTGTTTATTTTTTGTATTGTTGGTCTATCCCTTGTTGAGAGTGGGATGTTAAAGTGTTCTACTGTATACATATTTTCTCCAATTTTTGGTTTTTAGGGGTGATACTTTGTGAGCATATGTTGACGAGTGTTCATATTATGTGTTAACCCCTTGATCACTATATAGTCATCATCTATACCTGTTGTCACATTTTTTAGTTTGAACTCTATTTTATCTGCTATAAGTATGGCTGTTCCTGCCTTCTTTTGGGTGCTGTTTGCTTGTAGAATTGTTTTCCAGCCCTTTACTTTCAATCTTTTTTTATCATTAGAGCTTACCTGTATTTCATGGAGACAGCAAATGTTTAGATTCTGTTTTCTAGCATGCTTCTGATGCTAGAGTTTATTTGTGAGTGTCTTTTGATTTGTGAGTTTACTGCATTACTTTTAGGGTTATTAGTAATATATCAAAATCTATTATTGCCATTTTGGTCATCATTTTAGGGATCTATTCAATACCTTGTTCAGTTCTTCCCATTTAACCCTTTCTTGGTCGGATTTTAGGGCATCTTGTAATATTTCTTGGAGTTGGGGTGTAGTAGTAGCAAATTTCTGAAGATTTTGTTTGTCTGGGAAGGTTGTCTTTTTCTTCTCATAAAGGAAGGCAAGCTTTGTCTCAAAGTATTTTTTGGTTGGCAGTTACTGTCTTTGAGTTTTTTTGTTTTTAATTATTTATGCATACAAGAACTGGGGTGCAGACCAGAGGTTGGGTGGGGGGTGAGCGAATTCACTATAGAGTAGGGAGCAGAACAGGTAGATGTAGTGAAACACACTGCTGACGGAAGCAGCAGGTGGGTCAGGAGAGACCTGCCCCATGATGTGGGTCACCTCCCTGGCCCAGGATCCAACTTGTGCTGCAATGTCTGTGGATAGTTTCATAGTGCTGCACTTTAACTGGTTGTGCCACCAGAGAGGGCCAGAGTTTTTCCAATATGTTATTCCATTCTGTTTATGCCCTTAGTGTGTGTTCAGAGAAGTCTGAATACAGCCTAATTTGTTTTCCTTTATAGTTTATGTATGTAATGCCTCTAGTCAGTTTCATTATTTTTTCCTTTGGCTTGGACTCTTGGAAGCTTAATTATTATGTGTCTTTCTGTAGTTTTATTTTCTTCATGTAGTTTGGCATCCTTCTAGCTTCCTGTGCGTCTATTTTATTTCACCAAGTTCTCTTCGCTTATTTCCTTAACAGATTTTTCAGTTTCCTTGTTTCTCTCTTTTCCTTGTTTCCTGTGATTTTTGCATTTCCTAGTCTCATGGTATCATTTAATTTTCATGATGTTTCTTTGTTTTTTGTTTGTTTGTTTTGTTTTTTGTATCTGTCTCTTCAGGTGTACTGATTCACTATTCCTTATGATCCTATTTTCTTAGCTCTTTCCAGAATATTTTAGCTCCTCTAAATTTTAGCTGCTTTTTTTCATATCCTGTAGTTCCTTTTAAGTTTCAGTCTTATTCATATGTTTGTGGATTCTGCTTCTCATTGCTTTCTTTTCCCCCTTTTCCCCATCTTCTCTTATGTCCTCAAGTTTTTGAGTTAAGGTAACTTTGAATCCTTAATTTGCCAAGCAGAGATGTTGTTCCTTGTCTTTGTTGTTGGAGATTGATTTTTCCCCCCTATGGTTTGTTCCCGAAGGGCTTTGCTTCACCATTTGTAATTTTCTTTCTCCCCATTTTTTGTTTTCGTGTTTTCTCTGTTGACCTGGGTTATCCACGGGGGTGTCTGGGCTGCTAGGGTGGTCAGCATGTGTCTGAGTGAGTCTTGAGTGTGTCACATATTGTCATGCAGCCTTTGGATATGTTGTGTTACTTCCTGACTGGACACCTGGTGGGGCTTTGTCTGGCTGAGTCCTGGCAAGGTTTGTGAGAACTCTGTTGACCTGGGTGGGCCCTACTTTTGCTTGCCCTGGAGGTTGCCAGTTCTCTGTATGCTTTTTGTCACTCCCCAGAGACTTCTCATTTCTCACCAGCTGGGACTGTTGTGATGAAAACATTAAGAACCTTCTGTTTTAATTCACAGCCCATGGATAGAAATTAGATACATGAACCTGAGTTAAGAAAAATTTACATTTTTATTTTACTAGCCTCTAACAGAACTGCAGCATTCTGTCCAATTATGAATGTAGATAACAAACCATACTATTAATGAGAATTGTTATTTTTTAACTGAGTCCAGAAATATTTCTATAGTGTTTTTTTTTGTAATCACAATGTTATTTACCTTTATCAAAATTTAAAATTTCATGGAATCATTAGGTTTGCTGCTATACTTTGTTGTTTAATGTAGTAAGAAAGCATGCATTCAATCATATTTAAAGTAGTATAATAGATTTCTTCTGTAATCCTTTGTTTTTCAAAATACTAGTCTAAGTGAAAGGGTGGAAAAGCTGCTTACATTGATAAAGGAGTTCATTCTAGAGATAAAATTTAAAAGCTACTTTTTAAAAATACTGCTTGTAAAAAATAATTCTATACATTAAATATTTTTTCTGCCCCCCATCTCATCAGGTGTAGGTAATAGCAATGAAGGTGGAAGGGGAAAGGCAGGTGCAAAACTTTTCCAGGATTTTCAGATGTTAAGTAGGATCTGGACTCATCCTTGGTGTTTACAACTGGACTACATTAGCAAGGAAAACAAGGTAAGCTAAATCAAATAACGTAAATTGATTTAAAGGTATCTGTTGGAAGCACAGTACTTTTTTAAATTGTGTGTGTGTGTGTATAAACATAGTGTGAGTGTGTGTGTATATATATATATATTTACATAAATATACACACATACATATGTGAATGTATACATTATATATTTGAAATTTCCTTGGCTTTGTGGTATACTAATTCAACTATTTTTATTTCTAATGAATTTACAGTTAGATCTATTATGTAGAGAAGGTTTTAAATCTTCATTTTAGATTTGTACAACTATAGTAAAATCATCAAAACTAAGAAATTAACATTGGGTCAATATTTCTAACTAAACAGCAGTTTTTAATTGGACTTCATTAGTTTTTGGATTGATGTGCATTTTTCTAAGATTTATTTTTTATTTGTGCATAAAAGAACTGGGGTGTAGCACAGACGTGGGAGAATGGGAAAGAGGATTCACCAGACACAGAGTGGGGAGCAGAATAGGTGGATCTACTGAAATACACTGCTGAGGGGAGAAGTAGGCAAATAGGAGAGGTCTGCTGTGCATGTGGGTCAGCTCCCTGGTCAGGACTCAAACTCTTGGCATAGTGGCTGGTGATAACTTGATCGTGCTGAGACCTTGAATCTCTGTGCCAACAGGGAGGCCCCTCATGTCCTTTTTTTCCAGTACAAGATCTTAACATCTACTGCATTTATTAGTCACATCTGTCATGTCTCCTTTATACTTTCTAATTTATAGCTCCTTAATTCTTTCTTATCTCACCACAATTTATCCCTAAATGAAATAACCAAGCATTATAATTTCCAATATAAGTTGAAATGATCTATTACAATACTTTTTTTTTTTTTTCCTGTAGGGATATTTTGATGAAGACAGCATGGATGAGTTTATAGCTTCAGATTCTGATGAAACCTCCATGAGTTTAAGCTCTGATGAGTACACAAAGTAATTTGAATCATTTTTGTGCCTTGTATTGACATATTCGCTGTCTTTATTTGGTGATTTTTTTCTGATCATTGGCATTTGTATCTTTGCTTTATTCATAGTTTGGATTTTTTGTTTTTCTTTTTTTAGAAAGAAGAAAACAAAAGGAAAAAGGGGGAAAAAAGATAGTAGCTCAAGTGGAAGTGGCAGTGACAATGATGTTGAAGTTATTAAAGTCTGGAATTCAAGATCTCGTGGTGGTGGTGAAGGAAATGTAGATGAAACAGGAAATAATCCTTCAGTTTCTTTAAAGCTAGATGAATGTGAGTAATGCATTTATTATCGAATACTATGACAGTATCATGTCAGTTCTTTTTTCAGGTATTATCCTCATTAATTGGAGCATAGGGATATTTCCTTAATATGTAAGCACTTAGTAGAACCCCAGTACACAATAAAAACATATTAATTTTAATTATAAGGAAACCAGTGCACTCTCTTTGGTAATTAGGAACAAAGGAAGAAAGCAAAACTATTGTTTCTTTATATGTATGTGCCTGTACTATATTTTCACTCCATGGTTTAGCTAACTTAATTCTTGTTGTTGGTATCTTTATTTTTTATAAATGATTGATAGAAGTGGGCTTCAGACATAGACATAGAGAGTTGCAAAATTGCCATTGAGTTTCCATGTAACTGGGTAGAAGTAACTGAAACATTTCAGGTCATTAAACATGAGTAATTCATTCGGTAGTGAGTGAAACTACTTCTGATGGTTTAGTTTTTCATGTTCGATAATTATTGTCTAATTTAGGTTTCCCCTCAATCGTATACAGGTTGTGTTACCTCTTTCATTTTTTTTCTTTGGAGCATGATCATAACTCAGTGAAAGTTCTTTTTTTTTTTTTTTTGCATTTAAAAAGACAGTTTTATTAGGAAAAGGAGAAGAGAGAGGTACCTGCATAGTCGTAGGCAGGAATGCTGCCTTTTTTTATTGAAAGTTTTTCATAGACCTCCCTAATGGATGAATTTGTCTTTACCCATGATTATATTTGATGTATAATTGTTGTGGCTATGTGTCCTATGGAAGCTTGAGTGGATGATAGAGGAACTGAAATATCAAATATCTAAAGGTAGAATTATACAAATAAACATTTGGCACTTGGGAAGTCACTGAGCAATACAGTTTACAACATATGAAGAGAAGAAAAATGAGGGTGGCAACTAAGTAAATGATCCTTTGCCCAAACAGGGTCAGCTGGTGCAAGCCTGCAACTGAACTAATTTTGCAATTGCCTTGTTAAACATTACTCTCTATAAGTACCTTCTTGGAATAGACAGATGGTAGCCTAAGTAAGCATAGACCCTGATTTCTTTAAAAATCAGGAAAATAGTAAAAATGAAACTACAGAATTTCCCTTTCTTCTTCTCTCCTGTTACCCATATGGCAATTTATTATTGGTCTTCCTCTTTCAATTAGATTTAAAGAATATTTTCTAACAATAGTAAAGGAGTGGTTATAGTTTAATGTAACATAGTTGGGAACATCTGTTATCTCCTGCCTTGCTCTCCCTGCCCTGTAGTTTTTTGTTTTTTATTTTATTTTTGATGAGTGGAAACATACATAGATTTTTTTTGATTTTTATTTCAATGGTGGAAATTTTTGAATGGTTGGAAAAATAATTTTGTATATATTTATTATTTAATATAATGTATATATATTATTATCTATTAATATATCACACTTAAGCTTTTACAGCCAATAATATTTCCTGACACATTTATGATGCATTCTTGGATATAATTGTGCTGTTGCTAAAGGTTTGGGAAGCTCTCATTTATAGTATATATTTTATGCTATAATTTCTTTTTTTTTTAATAATATAATTTATTTTTACATCATTTTGTGCATTTTTCCATCTCAATTGTAATCCCTGTGGGCTTCCCATCACCAAATCACCCATGTGCCATCACCATAGTCCAGTGTATTTCCCTCCCCCCACTGTTTTTGATACCATTCCCCACTCCACCCCCATAAAATGTCTCTGGCATATAGTTGTTCATTATTATTATTATTTTCTTGCCTGGTCCGTTATACTCCTGCTATGAGTGAAATCATCTGGTATTTTTCCTTTTCTTTCTGACTTATTTCACTAAGCATGATCTTTTCCAGCTCCATCCATGTTGCTGCAAAACCTGCCCTGTGTTTTTACTTACCATTCACTTTAGTCTCTCATCTCCTAACCAGAAATAAGTAGCTTTAAGTTTGTCTTCCAGGTAATTTTGTTCAATTATTGTTGAAATTTTCCCCCCAATGTGTGGTTAAAAAGGGTAGAGAAAGTAGATAACTAGTATTCTTGACCATAATGAGTTACATTATGTTGAGATACTGCTCTCTTCAACATTTAGATGTATATAGGTGGAGTCTGAGGTAACTGACTCACCTCTAGAAATGTCACCTGTTCCCTCTTTTCCTCATGTACTATGTGAGTGTCATCTCTTTATATTTATATCATAGTGTGTGTGTGTGTGTGTATAATATATAAAAGGATGGAAAGAACTGAGGCAGAGAATAATAGTGACTACACGTGAATTTAGAAGTAATCAAGAAAAGCTGTAGGTTCCAAGTGAGAAACTTTGACTACTTGTCTAAAGTCTTTAATGTATTAGCTGTATGCAGTTAAATAGAAGTCATTCATATGTGCATATATTGATACTTTCTGCAGCTGTGTACAAGTAGTTTTTATCAAAAAGATACTTCCAGAACAAATAGATGGTAAAAATCTTATTTTTGTTTTTCAGATCTACATTAATTTCATTTAAGGCTAGAGTAGATCATCGTATATGAACGCATACAGTGGTAGTATATAGCTTTAAAAATAGCACTTTCTGGACCTCCTGGTGGCCGAGGAGTTAAGTCTCTGCATTAGCACTGCTATGGCCTGAGTTCGATCCCTGGTCAGGCAGCTAACCCACATATGTGCATATATTGCAGACTGCTCCTTTCTTGCCTTTTGCTCCCCTTGCAGTGTATTTCAGTAAATCCTCCTTTTCTGCTCCTTATTCTATCTCTGATGAATCTTCTATTCCTTCCCACCCCCACCTCCCCGCCCCTGCCCCTGGCTACCTCCACACTGCATCTCTGGCCTACTCCCCAGTACTATGCAAAAATAAATTTTAAAAAAAGGTCACTTTCTTACAGTAAATTTAAGAAAATCTGATTAGAAAGTATTAAAGGCTGAAAATGTTTACACTTTGAATTTGAAATGAATACTAAGCAGTTCACTGTAATTTTTTATTTTTCTGAAAAACCGCTTCTTGTTTAGACATTTAAGTATAGTTATAGCACTCCTATTGCTGCATTTTAGTATTTTGTGACAAGATATTGACTATATAAACTACTGTAAAATATTTATTACTTAAGTACTTTTAGAGTGAGCTTTACTTGTAAACGTTTACATTTTAAAATATGTATAATTTATTGTGTGGAGATTAATCTTTTTTGACAATTTTTGTACATAATTTAAGAACATATATTAGAACTAAAAACATTCATTTGAGAAATATTTATTGTTTACTTTGTGCCAGGTACTCTTCTAGAAGCTTATATCAGTGAAAGAGATGTAATCATGGAACTTAATATTCTACTATTTTTACTACTACTATTATAACTACTACAGTTATCTACAAGTACTATTCTAATAACATAGTTAATTATATATTTAGAATATAGTAGTTAAATATATATTTAGAATGCATCAAGATACAGGGTGTTAATGTGTAAATTTTCTGTTTTTTTCCCCCTTGAGTTTTATCGATTTTCTACTAGTTTATACAGTTGTATAACTTGGGGACTGCAGTTTTATACCTCCTTACCTGCATGTGTCTCACCTTCCATCATATCACCAGTGTCAACAACTCTTCTCACTTGCCCACTCTTACCCCTACCCCTCTAACAACTAGTACACTTTTTTCAGAGTTCAAGAATTACTGTATTTGTTTTGTATTGACTTTGTGCCTTATCTTGATATCAAGAATGAATATTAAGCTGTGACTTTAATTAATTAATTAAATTGGTTGTCATATATATATACAAAGCATAATGTTACAAGTAGTGATTGATACATGTGGATGATAAAATATTAATATTTAGCATGAAATATGTAAGTTTTAATTACATATTCATGATATTTATTTGAATAGCCAATATTTTTATCAATTACTTTTTATATTTTTAGACATCAGTTAAAGTATTGTTGATTATATATGATAGGATTAAACTTAGAAGGGAACTAGTATATTTACATAGAAACTTGTCCTAAGCTTTGAGACTTATCTACCACATCATTTTAATTAATTCTCTGTCAGTATTTTTATTTCTGACATTCCAGCTTAGATTCATTGCCTTTAATAAATTTGGTTAACTATTGCTGAATTTGTGTGTAATCTGTGAAACTGCAGATTTAACCCGAAAGATACTGGATAGTTGCCAGTTGACTAATTATAGAAGACAGTTTAGTCAGCTTGCTTGTTAAGTTATGTTGGGGGTGGTGCCCAAGACTATCTGCAAGTTCATTGTTGTACTAGAATGACTTACAGAACTCAGCATATAGTTGTATTCAGGTCTATGACTTATTACAACAAAATTTTAAAAGCAAAGTAATCTAAGGGAAAAGGCACATGGAATAAACTCCAGAGGAAACCAGGTATAACCTTCTGGATTTACCTCCTATTATGTACAAATTTCTCTAACTGTGAGTTATGGCAACTTATGTGAAGTGTCATCTGTCATAGAAGCTCATTTAAAGACCTAATATCAAAGGTTTTTTATTGAGGGCTAATCACATAGGCACTGTCTGTCTGATACCAATTCCATATTCCCAGAAGTGGGGGAAGCCACAGATGTTTAGAGTAAACCAGTGTACAGTCTAGGTTCAGTGAGTCACTGTTAACCAGGGATAGTTTTATATTTGGTACTGGAAGCTATGTAACTGTTTACCTTCCCAGAAGACAGCAGTCAAGGACCACCTTACAAGGAGACTTTCCTGAGATATGAACTATTGAAGGAGAGTGAAATATTAATAGACATTTGTTAGGCAAATATGTAGAGAAAATAATGTGACATTCAAGACAAATATGGAATCTTGAAAATATGTGACATGTTTGTGCAATAAATTCATTATGGTTTGAAAATAAATGTATAATGAACTCCCTGTAAGTAATTGAAACCACAAAGTCCCAGACACAAACTCACTGATAAACAAGTTTGAGATGGTATATATAATATGAAAACGCCTAGGGGATTCTAGTCTTGAGTCTAGCAACTTTTGTTTTCACTTCCCCAAGGAGAACATACAAGACCTTGAGCTCCCTAGAAGGTGTGGAGTTCTTAGGATCCTTCTTAAAGTTGGATCTTTCTACATAGTATGTATTCCATGAAAGAATAGGATAGGAAAAAATACTGCCCTTCAGTCCAGGAGGATCACAAAGGAAGGTTATCTGTTTCACTATGTGCACTGGGTTGTGTGCTCTGGGTTGGGAAATGCAGTTTTCTTGGATTCATAATCATGTACTTCATTCACATAGTTTATGTTTTGAATTTATCTTATAAGTGTCAAAATCTCAAGGTGAAATAGTAGTTTCAAAAGAAATTCTGGGTTGGTGTTCTCCTAGTGCACCTGACAGAAGTAAATGCAGGACACCATAGAGATATATGGCCTAGCCCAGGGTATCCAAGATCCTCACGTTTTGCAGACACACTGCAAATGAAATGAAATTCAGAATGATGGGATATTTGAGGAAAGAACCTTAGGAAAAGTTAGCAACAAAATAAGTTAATGATCAGCATGAGTAAAGTTAGCATGCAAAACAAAAGTCAGAAAATGTACAACTTAGATGAAGTAGAAAACATTCTTGAAAAATATGTTAGTGGTATTGGGGCCCTCCCTGTTGGTGCATTGGGTTAAAGCACAGCACTATAACGCTATCCACAGCCACTGCAACACGAGTTCAATCCTGATGAGGGAACTGACCCATGTGGCCCAGCAGACCTCTCCTGGCCCACCCGCTGCTCCCCTCAGCAGTGTATTCCAATAGGCCTGCCTATTCTGCTCTCCACTCTGTCTCTGGTGAATCCTCTCATCCCCAGCACTTCTGGCCTATACCCCAGTTCTTGTATGCATAAATAATTGAATCTTAAAAAAATGTTAGTGGCATTGATTGTTGAGTGTAGGTTTTTCATAGTACCAGAAATAAGAATTAATCTAAATATTTATGAATAGGAAAACTAAAAAGTGATAAATTCATGTGGTGCCATATTAAATGACAGATAGAATAGCTGAACATGTTTCATTTTGAATGAAAACTGAAAAACTCCATTAAAAAAAGTAAGTTACAGCTTGATTCCACTTTAATATAGTTTAAAATATGAATAGTGATGTACAGTTAGGGATAGGCATTTAGTGAAAATATGAAAGCATACAGAGAAATGATAAAGAATTTCAGTTTTTAGTGAACTCTCAGTAAGGAGGGAAGGAAAGAAGATAATGGGTTTGGGTAGGGTCACATTGTGGACTGCATCAGAAGCAGATTGAACAAGTTTTAAAATTTGTGAAGACAGATGTTCATTATGTTTTATGTAATTTTCTGAATAGTTAAATGTTTTATGACAAAAGTATATGAAAATTCTAAATAATATACATTAAAGAGCAATTGAAGAGGGACAAGCAGGTTATCCTGATAGCTGTTAGTTTAAATTAAACTGTTTATGCTTAGCTCTTCAGTAGATTGTTTGGAGTTACTTTTTTCTTATCCCTTTCATGGTCAAAATAGAATATGGAAAAAATAAAACAAAATGACTTAACAGGTTCCATGATTCTGGGATCCATTCTTGTTTGAGTTTCCCAGAATTCTGAGTAGCCTAGTGAAATGTTTCCTGTGTGCAAGGTATTTCCTGTCTTGATCTCTGAGTCTAGACCTCCCTTCTTCTCTCCCCAACATCATTCACTCTGTTTGGGTTTCTGGATTTCTTTCTCTTAGGTCTTTTGGTACATTTTGGGGCTTACGTTCTCTCAGGGCCTACAGATCTCCATATTAGGCGCTTTGTATGTCTTAGCTCCCTGTTCTTGTTTTTCACTTGCCCATCACCATGTGGGCACGGTGCACACAATGCACATGTACACGTGCGTACATTAACTGTCTCTTCTTTCACTCCCACGCCAATACATTGACTATCTCTTCTTTCACTCCCATGCCAAATCCCCACCAGTCTCTTTCTCACTCTCCCTCTTGGTGGTCTGTATCTCTTTATTTTGTTCTCTTTTTCAGTCTTTCTGGGGGACTTCAAGTTTCTTTTCTTAATTTGCCTACTTAATTTGTTTCCTTTATTTTATTTAGGTAAAGCTACTTCCTCTTCTAATCCAAGCAGCCCTGCTCCAGACTGGTACAAAGATTTTGTTACAGATGCTGATGCAGAGGTTCTGGAGCATTCTGGGAAAATGGTACTACTCTTTGAAATTCTTCGAATGGCAGAGGAAATTGGGGACAAAGTGTAAGTTCTTTCTTAATAAGATTTCTATTGTTTAAACAATTCATTTGAAAAAATTTATTTTTTCCTCTAAATATGTAATTTTTCTAATGTAGTTATAAACAGCTATTTTCCTTGCAAGTCACTAGTTCTAAGTGCATATTCTGGTTATTTCTTAAGTGCTATTTTCACCTTATGATTATTGTACAGTAAACTTACTTCATTGAGCCAAACCTCTAGTTGATGTTTGTATTTGACCATCTTCAAAAATCACATTTTAGTTCATGCCATGTGACTTTTAGTTTACTAAGAGTCCCTGCCCCCAAATCACTTAGTGACCTTCAAATTCCCAAATCTAGTGAATACTTCTCAAATTTTACTTTACTATTTGAATGGTCTGTCTTTAACATTTGCATTTTTTAAATTCCTGTTTGCTTAGCTTCTAGCTTATGTGTCATATCCTTCCCTGCATCTATATCGCCCAAATTCATCCTTTATATAACCATTCAAAAAAATAATTTTTAAAAAGTTTTGAACCAGATTTATTGTTTAGGCTGTTAAAAGATTCTAACATCTGATCATAAAATACTTCAAAATATTATCTGTGATGCACATTGTAGTAGCAGTTTAACATAGGATGGAAATAAAACAAATTTTTAAAGATTTATTTATTTACATGTACAAAACTGGGGTGCAGGCCAGAGGTGCAAGGGCAGTGAGAGGATTCACTTGAGACAGAGTAGAGCAGAACAGGCAGATCGACAAAGTACACTGCTGAGGGGAACAGCGTGATGATCAGGAGAGGTCTGCTTCACCATGTGGATCACCTCCGGGGATGGTGATCAAACTCGCACTGAAGTGTCTGCAGCTGGTTTGCATTGCTGTGCTCTAACACATTGCGCCACCACGGAGGGTCCTAAAATAATCTTTTTTTTTTTTTAAAGATTTATTGATTTATTCATATAGAGCTGGAGTACAGGCCAGAGATGTGGAGGGTGAGAGGATTCACCAGAGACAGGGAGGGGAGCAGAACAGGCAGATCGACGAAGTACACTGCTGAGGGGAGCAGCGGGCGGGTCAGGAGAGGTCTGCCTCGCCATGTGGATCTCCTCCGGGGCAGGCAGGAATCGAACTCATGCAGAAGTGGCTTAAACTTCTTAGTGCTGTGCTTTAACCCGCTACGCCACCAGGGAGGGCCCCTAAAATAATCTTTTATCTTAAAAAATTTTCAAACTTCATTCCTTTAAGTTCCCTGAAAGATGTAGATCTTCAGTTATATTTCCATACCACTTTTTGATATACCTCTACTCCCCTCAATATATTTCAATGTACCTATATATGTTTTTTCACTGAATAGTGAGTTGTAAGAAAATATAAAATGTTTTATTCATTTTTATTAACCCCAGTGTCTGTATAGTGCCCTTTACACAGAAGTAAGAGTATTGGTAATAGAGGTTAAAGGTATGTTTTAGAATAGAAACAGTACTTGATAAATTAATTTCAGGGCAGAAAGCAGATAGTAGTCAAAGGTGATTTGCAGGTTTCTTGCCTAAGTTGCTGGTAGATTTTGGTGTTATGTCCTAAGGTAGAAATGTTTAGGGGAGTGTTAATTTTATTAAAGCTTGCAAATAGTCTTACTATGTGTTAAGTTTGAAAGGCCTATTAGATGTCCATGAGAGATGTTATATGGAAAATGAATATTTGACTCTAAGGTTCTCAGGAGGTATTATTGCTCTAGCCATGCATTTTTCTGCTATAAGCATTTTTAGTTTAACATTAATTTATATTTGAGTACCATACAAGAATTTGAAAAGTATAGTAGGGATTTTAGTTTAATCTTTTCTACCATGTTCATCATAATCATAGTGTCTTCTATGGTAGGATAAATACCATCTTAGAAGGCTACCTATAGTTGAATAATTGAAATTGTTAAAACAATATATCCTTATCTGTAGAGTTGGTACCCTATCTCTATAGCTGTTTACACTCTGATCTAAGTAATTGCCTTCTGATCTATAATAGAATGTATTTGCAATATTTTCATATATTTCGAGTGATTTTTATTTGTAAACCAGCTGATATATATATGCAACTTTAGAAATACACTTCATTATGGAAAATCATAAACAAAACAAAAAATGGAAAGAATATTAGTGATTTCTCATATACCTGCTACATACATTCTATACTATATTTTATTGTACTTTATTACTATAGATCCATCACTGCATACATTTTATTTTTCTGATGCCTTTCACAGTAGGTTGCAATGTAACTTCCACTATTTCAATTGTTTCTTCAAAACAGTGGTAGGTTAATCTCTATTGCCCCTTTTAGAATTTTTCCCTCGCTTCATTCATCTGTTGTGTCAGTTCTTTCAATCCTGACCACATGGTCTTAATAGTTTTTTTTTTTTTTGAACAACTATCTCAAAATATGCTTTTAGTAAATGAAACCTTCAACAGAGTTATAATGAGGATAGTCCCTATTTATTCTGGACCCTATACATTCATCTGAAGGTTTTACAATATTAAATATTAATATTTGTTTAGAACTTGTCATCTAAGGCATTCTCTCTCCCTCCTCCCCCCTTTCTCTTCTTCTTTCTCCTCTTCTCTCCCACCACACCCCTTAACTGTCAAGTCAGATTCCCCTGTTGTCTATTTGTGCAGTTCATCATTTGACCCAAATGAAAATTTGACCTTTCACAGAGAGTGAAATAAATGAATGTTAGTGATATTAGCCAGTGATGATGCTGGTAGAGTTTTAACACCAGACTCTCAAAAATAATAATAATTGCAAAAATACAGAAAGCAATAAAAGCAATAATGAAAGCCCTCATTTGTATCATTTGCTGCTTTCCATGGTATCAGTGATCTCACTATGTCCAATTTCAGGCTACCTATATATCAGAATTGATTCAATAAAGTTTTTGATTCTAAAATAATGTATTGAGAGTTCAAGGCACCGTCCTGGGTAATTTACTCTGAGCACCAGGAATAAATTTCCTTACTAATATTTTAGGGATAGATTGTGGGGAGACACTGTGCTTTCCATAGTGCAGAGCTCAGAAGCCATATAATGGCCAATGCATATGTGGTTAATGCCAAAAGTTATGTCATAATTTGAATTGTTCTGTTTAGGTCTAATTTGAAAATATCTCATAGTGAGTGTTCAAGGATTTTTGGAGTCATAAGCACTTTGTCGTATAGCACAACTTGCAGAATAAGAACAAAGTGGAAAAAAATAAGTTTGTCATAGGTGTCCTGATATACTGTCCTAGTTTGTTTGAAAATATTCTCTATCTAGGGTTGTTTCCCAGTGTATAATTATGTCTACTTTTCACCAGTAGGTGGATCAAAGCCATGGTTTTCAAATGGTTTCTCAGAGCTTTTTTAGGTTACCAACTTAGAGGAGAGGGTTTAAGGGCCAGTGAAAAGTTCCTTATCACCCAGTCCTTAAAACACTACCTTGCTTATGATTATATTTTTAAATAATAATTATTTTTTAATAGCACATAAGACTTTATATGAACAAATAGTCTTCATGACTAAAACAGAGTGAGAAAACTGCTGGGATAGTGAATCAGGAATTTGCAGACACATTTGAAATGGAATGACAAAATGTTGTAGCATGTATACAATTTTATATTATTCAGATACTTTTTGTAAGAAGACTTTTTCCTCATATTCTCTAAAAAGTGTCCTTTGAAGAGTGAGTTTTTTAATTTTGAAATCCCAATTTATCAACTTTCCCCCCCATAGGTCATTTTAAAGATTGCCCAGCTCCAGGTTACAAAAATACTTTTTCTTTGTTTTCTTCTGAATCTGCTGTAGTTTTACATTGGACATTTAGATTTATGCTTCATTTTGAGTTAATTTTTATTTAAGGTATAAGGTTCTTTTTGTTGTTGTTGTTTGGCATGTGGATGTCCAATTTTGCCAAGACAGTCTGTGACTTGGCACAATTTTTTTCATTGATGTTTTTGTTTCTTGTTCAAAATTAAATTAACCATATTGTGCGGTTCTTTATCTGGACTCTGATTCTGTTCCATTGATTTGCCCTTGTCCCTTTGTGTCAGTACTACAATATTTTGATTGCTTTAGCTTTTTTTTTTTTAAGATTTATTTATTCATTCATACAGAACTGGGGTACAGGCCAGAGATGCGGAGGGTGAGAGGATTCACCAGGGACAGAGTGGGGGGCAGAACAGGCAGATCTACGAAATACACTGCTGAAGGGAGCAGCGGGCGGGTCAGGAGAGGTCTGCCACGCCATGTAGATCTCCTCCAGGGCAGGAGGGGATCGAACTCATGCGGAAGTGGCTTAAGCTTCTTAGTGTAGTGCTTTAACCCGTTGCGCCACCAGGGAGGGCCCTGCTTTATTTAGCTTTTTAAATGTTGAAGTCATGTACATTAGACCTTCAACTTTCTGTTTTTCAAAATTGTTTTCCCAACTCTGTGTGCTTGACATTGCCATATAAAAGTTAGAATCCACTTGTTAATTTCTACAAAAGATCCTACTGTGATTTTGATTAGAGTCATTTTGAATTTATAGGTAAATTTGTGAAGAAGTTAATATCTTTATTATATGAAACTTCTAACCAGTGAATACCATTTCTTTTTTAGCCTTGTTTTTAGCCAGTCTCTCATATCTCTGGATTTGATTGAAGATTTTCTTGAATTGGCTAGCAGGGAAAAGACAGAAGAGAAAGATAAGCCTCTTATTTATAAAGGTGAGTTAAAATATTTCTATGTAATGCATTTGAAACAAAGAAAAAAATAGTTCCCAGGCCCACAACCCTAATATATACATTTTTCTGCACTTCTTATCTTTGTCCACATAAATATGGTCTATGTTATTGACATGGTAGCATCAATTAAGATATTTTTCAACAGCTTTAATGAAATATAAATCACATATAATGCAACTCACTCATCTAAACTGTACAATTGAATGGTTTTTAGTATATTCACAGTTATGCAGCTATTACCACAGTCAATTTTTGAATGTCTAATAACCATCTATCACCCTTTAACCCCCTTCACACCCTTAAACAATCAGTGAATCTGCTTCGCTTGTTTGGATTGACTTATTCTCAACTTTTTACATAAATGGAATCATATAACATTTGACGTTTTGTGACTGGCTTTCTTTCACATAGCATGTCTTCAGGGTTTTTTCATGTGTTACTACTTCATTCCATTCCATGGTCTAATAATATTCCACTATATGGATAATGCCCACATTTTGATTATTCATTCATTAATTTAAAGATATTTTGAATGGTTTTCAACTTTAGCTATTGTAAATAATGCTACTATGAAGGTTTATTTAGAAGCTTTTATTTATTTAAAATATGTTTTTAATTATTTGGCTATATATGTAGAAATGGAATTACTGGGCTATATGGTAAGTCTATGTCTAACTCATTGAGAAACCACCAAACTTTTCCATACTGCCTACTACACTGTTTTACATTCCCATATGCAGCGTACCAATGTTACAATTTCTCTAAATCTTGGCCAACACTTGCTGTTTTTCTTTTTCAAAAAAATTATAGTTGTCCACATGGTTGTGAAGCATTATCTCAGTGTGATTTTTAATTAGTATTTTTCTTACTACTAATAATGTTGAACATCTTTTCATGTGCTTGTTAGCCATTTGTATATCTTTTGAAAAATGTTTATTCAGATCCTTTGCCCAGTTGAATTCTCATTTTTTTAATATAATAGTTTATTTTTACATCATTTTGCACATTTTTTCCATCTCAATTGCAATCCCCATGGGTTTCCCATCACTGAGTCACCCATGTGCCATCACCACAGACCCGTGCACTCCCCCCCCCCCCAGTTTTGATCCCATCCTCCACTCCTCCCCCACAGAATGTCTCTGGTATATTATTTTCTTCTTCTTCTTATTATTATTTTCTCGCCTGGTCCCTTATGCTCCTGCTATGAGCGAAACCATCTGGTATTTTTCTTTTTCTTCCTGGCTTATCTCACTAAGCATGATCTTTTCCAGCTCCATCCAAGTTGCTGCAAAAGACATGTGTTTCTCTTTTTTGGTTGCTGAATAATATTCCACTGTATATATGTACCACATCTTTTAAATCCAGTCATCTACTTTTCCCAGTTGAATTTTCATTTTTACATTTTCTGTATATTGGATCCTTATCAGATAAAGGATTTACAAATATTTTCTTTTTGTTGTCTTTTCAATTTCTTGGTAGTGCCCTTTAATGTACAAAAGTTTCTTCAGTTTATCATTTTTTTCTTTGTTACTTATGCTTTCAATGTCATATCTTAAAAATCACTGTCAGGGATTTCCTGGTGGCACAGGGGTTGTGTCAGCACTATCAACTTATAGTCATCCATTGCAGCGTGAGTTCAATCCCTTGCCGAGGAGCTGACCCACATAGCACAGCAGACCTCTCCTGTCTTGTCCACTTCTCCCTTCAGCAGTGTATTTCAATAGATCTGCCTGTTCTGTCTGTTCCCCACTGTCTCTGGTGAATTCTCTCACCCCCTGAACCTCTGGCTTATACCCCAGTTCTTGTATGCATAAATAAATAAAATAAATCTTTAAAAACTACTGCCAAATCTAAATTAAGGAATATTTACCCCTATGTTTGCTTCAAAGAATTAGTTTATCCTCTGTTATTAAGGTCTTTGATTCTTTTTGATTTTGCTTTTTTAAAAAGATTTATTATTTATGCATACAGAACTGGTGTACAGGCCAGAGGTGTGTGTGTGGTGGAGGGTGTGTGTGTGTGTGTGTGTGTGTGTGTGCGTGTGTGTGCGTGCGTGCGTGCATGCATGCGTGTGTGCGTGCGTGCGAGCGATAGGATTTACCAAAGACAGAGTGGAGAACAGAACAGCCTGATTTACTGAAATAAGCTGCTGAGGGGAGCAGTGGGCAGGTCAGGAGAGGTCTGCCATGCCATGTGGGTCCACCTCCTTGGTGGGGAATCGAACTTGTACTGCAGTGGCTGTGAATTGCTTCATAGTGCTAAGCTTTAACCCATTGGACCACCTAGGAGGGCCCTCTTTTTCATTTAGTTTTAAATAAATTGAGAGGTAGAGTTTCAACTTTAGCCTTTTGCTATGACTATAATTATCCTAGCTGTATTTCTTGCAAAATACTCTTTACTTCATTGAATGTTCTGGCACCTTTGTTGAAAATTAGTTGACCCTGGAGACAGAGATTTATTTCTTGACTCTGAGTTCTATTTCTTTGATCTGTGTGGCAGTCCTGAAGCCTGTAACACACTGTCTTGATTAACATTCTTCTGAAAGTAAGTTTTGAATTTGGAAAGTATGAGTCTTCCTAGTTTGTTTTCTTCAAGATCATTTTGGCTATTCTGAGTCTCGTAATACTTTTGTGAATTTTAGAGTCAAGTTTGTAACTTTCTACAGAAACATCAGTTTGAAATCTTTTAGGGATTGCCTTGAATCTGTAGCTCATTTTGGGAATTCTTTCATCCATGAACATGGGATATTTTACTATTTATTTAGATCTTTAATTATTTTCACCAGTGTTTTTAGTTTTTAGTATATATGTTTTGTACTTTTTGGTTAATCTATTGCTGATTTTAATCTTTATTGATGGAATTATAAAGGGAATTGTGGTCTTTTCTAAAATATTCTTTTCTGAAACATTACTACATATGTTGAGTTTTTGGTTTTCAGTTTATATGTAGTTTTTTTTTTTAGCTTTTTAAAACATCCTTGTTTATTTTTGCATATTACAGGATTTCTCCCCTCACATGTGGTAACCATAGTTTTCCCACCAGCAAAGTACCCATAGTCCTTCACCATAGTAAACAAATAGCCCAATCAAAAAAATGTGCAAAAGAATGAACTAGGCACTTCGAAGAAGATATGTAGATGGCCACCAGACATATAAAAATGTTCACCATCAATTATCTTCAGGGAAAACACAGCAAAACCTCAGTGAGATAACTACCTCCTACCTGTGAGAATGGCACATATCAAAAAAAGCCACACAATAGTGCTGATGAGGGTGTGGGGCAAAAGTAATCCTATCATACTGTTGGAGGGAATATATACTGCTGGTGATCCAGCCCCTATAGAAAGAAGTGTGCAGATTCCTCATAGACTAAATTGAGTTTTGTATGCTAACTCATTTATTAGTTCTAATAGTGTTTTACTGAATTTGTTTTTAAGACTTTTCCATACATATCAGATCGTATCATTTGCAAACATAATTTACTTCTTTCCCAGTATGAATTAATTTATATTCTTTTTCTTATCCAATTTCCCTAGTTAGCACCACTTGTACAGTGTTGAAGTGGCAAAAGTATATTTATTAATCCTAGGGGGAAAGATCTATTAATAAATGTTTATCAATTTGAGGACTTTCCCTTTTATTTCTTGTTTTGTGAGTGTTTCTTTGAAATCCCAAACATGTATTGAATATTGCCAAAGGATTTCTGTGTCTTCTGAGATAACATGTAATTTTTAAAATCTTCTTGTTAATATGGTATATAACTTTGAATATCAAAGGTTATATCAACATTGTACATCTAGGATAAATCCTACTTACCATGATATACAATTCTCTTAATATTTTCTGGATTTTTCAGGATTTGTGCATCCTTATTCGTAAGAGATACTACTTTTCATTTCTGTTTTCTCAGGATGCCTTACATTTCACATCAAAAGTTGATATTTAAATGACCAACAAGCATATGGAAAGATACTTGTCATCACAAATCATTAGAGATATAGAAATGCAAATCCAAACCACAGTAAGTTATAGCTTCACATTCATTAGGATGTTTAACAACAAAACAAAACAAAACAAAAATCCTGGTAAATAGCAAGATTTGGCAAGAATATGGTGAAATAAGGAAGAACTCTTTTGCTGTGTTGGGGGAAATATAGAATGATGCCACAATGTGAAAACTATATGCCAGTTAATTTAAAAATTAAAATTAGTTAATCACCATATTTTTCTAGCTATTTTTTGTGCCTGTGTGCAACAAATCCTCATCAAAGTCTGTGTTCTTGTAGCAAGTCCTCATTCTGTATCTCTATAAGTAAACTGTCATAGTGAGTAAAGAACAATTCCTGCATAGCTAATGAGATCCTAAAAAAAACATGCCAGAAAAAGGCTTTGAAATATTGATAAAAGTGAAGCAAACTCCTGGCTAGTGATTTGTGTATTTTAAGGGGAGAGTTTTTTTGTAAATAATTTTTTTTTTTAAATTTTATTGAGGTAACGTTCCAGTCTTCCATCAGATGTCACCACCAGAGTGTACCCATCCCTAAATCACCAATATAGTCCACCACCATAGTCCTTTGTGTTTTCTTCCCTTTTTGTTTTCACTCCTTTCCCTCAAAAGTCAACTTTAAAAGCAATGAAATCTTTATAAATGCTATGAAATGGATGAACCTTAAGGATAACATTGCTAAGTTAGTAAGATTGCACAAAAAAGACAAACACTTTATTATTCTATTTGTCAACTATCTGAAGTACTCAAATTTACAGAGAGAAAGTAGAATGGTGGTTACTGTGAGGAAAAGAAATGGGAAGTTATTTTGCAAGATGAAGAAATTGTGGAGATTTCTTGTACAACATTATCAATATATTTAGCATTACTGAACTGGTTAGAATAGTTAAGATGGTGATTTGTTTTTTTAAGATTTATTTATTTGTGCATACAGAACTGGGGTACAGGCCAGAGGCTCAGGGGTGGTGAGAGGCTTC